TGTTACTATTTTTTTTAATCGTTATTATTATCATTATTGTCTTCATTATAACTGTTATTTTCATTTTTTGTTATCATTATTGTTTTTATTATTATTATAGTTGCTTCCGTTTCCTCCCTCTTTCTTTCTCCTCCGTCCTCCCTCCTTCCTTCTTTACCTCTCCTTCCTCTTTCTCCTCCTTCTTATCTCGTCCTTTCTCTTCCTGACTCTTCCGTCCTCATCATCCCCTTTTTCCTCCCCCTTCCTACCTTCTCTCCCCTTTTCTTCTCCTTCCTTCCCCATCCTCCTCCATCCTCATCTTCCCCTTTCCTCCTCCTTCATTCTCCTTCCTTCTCCATCCTTCTCCTTCCTTCCTCATCGTTCCCCTCCATCTTCACCTCCCACCCCTTCCTCCTCCTTCCTTCTCCTTCCTTCCTCATCCTTCCCCTCCATCCTCCTCCTCCCCCTTCCTCCTCTTTCCTTCTCCTTCCTTCCTCACCCTTCCCCTCTATCCTCATCTTCCCGTTTCCTCCTCCTTCCTTCTCCTTCCTTCCTCCTCCTCCTTTCTTCTCCTTCCTTCCTCCTCCTCCTCCATCCTCATCTCCCTGTTTCCTCCTCCTTCCTTCTCCTTCCTTCCCCATCCTCCTCCCTCCCATTTCATCCTCCCTCGTCCGTTCCAGGGAGGCGAGTGCGGACACGGTTACGTCGAGAGGAACGTGTCGTGCGTGGGTCCAGGAGGCCAGACGGTCGCCCCGCAGCTGTGCCTGGCGCTGGTCCACGTCGGGGGCCACACCTGGCCTTACCTGGCCCGGGCGCTCGATCTCAATACGAAGGTTGGAATGAGAAGGACAAGTAGATGAGTAGATGAGATAGTATTAAAAAAATGTACATATATATAATAGATATAGGTAGGTGAGAGAGTATTTTTTTAAAATATGTGGAAAGGGAATAAGAAAGGTCTAGGAGAAAGTATTATTAATGTATAGCAGGAGAATCAGATGAACGATTGATTATTCCCGTTGATTTCTGTCGTATGGATAAATGAAAAGGCAGCTGATATTTATAATGAGTGTTGTCTTAGTACGCCTATGGTTATGGCCTTAAAAGGATAGCATAATGTCATTTATCATTTTTGTAATGTCTTAATCTGGAAGGAAGAGAGAGGGGGGGGAGAGGGAGAATAGAGTGAGGAGAAAGAGAGAGGCAGAGGAAGGGAAGGGGGAGAGAAGAAGAGAGAGTAGGAGAGAAAAAAAGAGAGAGAGAGGAGGGGGAGAGAGGGGAGAGAGAGGGAGGGAGAGGAGAGAGTGGTAAGAAAGGCGGAGAGAGTGAGAGTGAGAGAGAGAGAGAGAGAGAGAGAGAGAGAGAGAGAGAGAGAGAGAGAGAGAGAGAGAGAGAGAGAGAGAGAGAGAGAGGAAGGGGAGAGACAGGGAAGATTGAAGAAGAAAGAGACTTCAGACACTTCCTAAATTTCCCAGGACGGGTGCTATGTTCCCTGCGAAGGAGACTGCGAACTGACGGAGTGGACGTCATGGTCACACTGCCACCGAGACTGCTACAGAGGCCACCAGGGTAAGTGTCAATATTATCAAAGAACGTATACAAAAAAGACGATTAGATTATCACAAGAGATTTATTATAATGATTATTTATTCATGATTATGATACTGATTATAGAAATATGATGATCGTAATGAAAAAGAATAGTAAGAAAAATAATAATAATAAAGATAATGACAATAATAGCGAAAAGAATAAGAACAAAAATAAGAACTTAAGAACAATAACGATTTAAGAAATACGAATAATAATAACAATAATAATAACGACAATAACCTCAATTACCCTTTTTTTAATCAACGAAGGAGGGACGCAAACCAGATCCCGAGCAGTGCTGACCGAAGGAACTCCCCAGCGAGCCGACTCCAGGAGCTCCTGTCCCGGACCCCTGTGGGAAACCCGCCCTTGCCTGGCCGGCCCTTGCCTCAACTTCACGTGGGAGATACGCAACGGCACCGTGGAGTGCGTGCGGGGCGACGGCCTCGTTGTGACAGGTGTGTGGGAGTGCTTGTTTGTGTGTGGGGGGAAGGATAGGTGGGTGGGTGTGGGTGGGTGTGAGGGTGTGGGAGAGTGCATGTGTGTTGAGGTGTGTGTGTGTGTGTGTGTTAGGGTGTGTATGTGTTAGGGTGTGTATGTGTGTGTGTGTGTGTGTGTGTGTGTGTGTGTGTGTGTGTGTGTGTGTGTGTGTGTGTGTTAACCAAGTTCTTTTTAAATATTATAAAGGATGATATAGATTTTTCTGTATAGTTATAATGATTTTGCATGATAGTTGTTCCTCTCTATTTTATGATGACACAGTACATGTATTAACACCGCATGTAAATTTATACTATGACGCATTTAAATTCACATTATTTATATTATACAATTGCAAAATTCTCTTTCGTCTTCCTGCAATAACCCTATCCCTAGGCTACAACTAACCCTACCCCCATTTCTCTCCCGCAGGAGGATGTGAGGGCACGCCAAGACCGTGCCTTCCAGAGTGCACTGTCCGCGGGTCCGTGTGCTCAGGCCTCGGCGCGTGTGTCTGCCAGTCGGGGCTCAGACCGCGCTATTCCGAAAAGCAGAGATTTCGTCTGACTGCTTGCGTGCCCGTGCTCAACCTGACTTTCCCCTTGCCCCTCCCTCTGTCCGAAGCTAAATACCTGCCAGGTGAGTTGCTTTTTTTCTCGACGGGTTAATTGTCTTTGTTTGTATGTTTGTTTGTTTTTTATCCTGTATCCCTTCAGGTAAATATGTTTTAAGGTTTGTTTGTTTGTTTTTTACCAGCCAGGTAAACTGCTTTCATTTTTACCTGGTAAATTGGTTTTATTTTTGCTAGGTTGATTATTGTCTTTCCTTGCAAGGTAAATTATTTTGCGGTTTTTCTTTGTTGGGCGCTTAACAAAGTGGCCATATTACTTCGTTAAGCAGCTTAGTCACTAAATAGCATGTTTTTTATGGATAACAATATTCACTGCACAGAAAACATGTTAGTCGATATATTAATTAATGTTGTGATGATAATTCTAGTAAAGAAAAAATGTTCTAGTGACAATGATATTGGGAGTAATAATAGTAGTAGAACTGGCAAGAGTAATAATAGTAGTAGTATTAACGATGATATTGTTTGTACAAGCAGTAACAATAAGTGTGTAATTTGGATACAGAATATTTTCATGATAGTTATGGTAACAATGATAATAGTAGTAATGGCAGTGATAGTAATAATGACAATAGTGCCATTGATAGTAACAATGGCAATAATAAATCATGATATTTGATAAAATAATGATAATAATATTGATGATGATAATGAAATAATAATGATAATAATAATGATAGTGATAATAATAATAATAATAATAATAATAATAATAATAATAATAATAATAACAATAATAATAATAATAATAATAATAATAATAATAATAATAATAATAATAACAATAATAACAATAATAATAATAATTGTAATAATGATAATAATAATAATAGTAATAATAGTAATGATAATAATAATAATGATAATAACAATAATGATAATAATAATAATAATGATGATAATAAAAATAATAATTAATGATGATAATAATAATAGTAATGATAATAACAATTATCATAATTCACTAACACGCTTTTTTTTCCTTTTTCCTTTTTCTATTCCTCAAACCAGAAGACATAAACGTGTGGATGTTTGCCATGGTGGGCGTCGGCAGCGCTTTTGTGGTGTTCGTTGCCATATCCATGTACCTTCTGTGGTGAGTTGGATGGATGGAAGGGTGGGTGGGTGGGTGGGTGGGTGGGTGGATGGGTGGGTGGGTGGGTGGGTGGGTGGGATGAGAGAATGGATGGATGGACGGGTGGGTGGGTAGGTGGATGGATGAGAGAATGAATGGATGGATGGATGGGTGGGTGGGTGGATGGATGAGAGAATGAATGGATGGATGGATGGGTGGGTGGGTGGATGGATGAGAGAATGGATGGGTGAGTGGGTGGATGGATGGGTGGGTGGGTGGGTGGATGGGTGGGTGGGTGGGTATTGGGCTGGGTGGGTGGATAGATGGATGGAAGGGTGGGTAGATAGTAGGGTAGGCGGGGGAGGGCGGGTGATTGTGGGGAGAGGGGGAGGGGTGGGCGGGTGGGTATTAGAGTGGGAGAGTGGATGGGTTGTTGGATAAATGGATAGATAAGTAAATGGATAGTTAGAAACATAATTATGTGGATGGATAGACAGGTGTTTGGATGGGTGGATGGATGGATAAATGAATGGTGAATAAATCGATGGCTGGGTGGTTGGATAGGTGGATGAAGGGGTGGATGGATGGGTGAGGGGATAAATGAAGGATGGATAAATAGATGGATAAATGGATAGATAGGTAGACTGACAGATAGAGAGATAGATGAGTAGGTAGGTAGAGGTGAGTGGATGGATGGAGGGATTTTGAGTGAGTGGAAGGGTAGATGTATAGATAGACGGATTGATAGAGAGAGAGAGATAGAAATTAGGTACATTAAAAAGAAAAGAAAAAAAAAAGACACACAGACAGATCGTAGATAGATAAATGGGTGGATATGTAGTTATATAGATAGTAAAATAAAGTGATAGGTAAATAGATAGAAAACAAAAAGATAAGTAAGTAAACAAAGGAATGACTATATCAGTAAACGAATATATGAATTGATAACTAAGTAAATAGATTATGGAATAAATATTTGAAAATGTCATTTTTCTGTATTTTTGTTAAAATTTGCAGTCATTACAGTTTCAAGGTAAATTTTATATATATCACATATGAAAATTGACTATAAAGGCTATAAAAATAAAACAAAATAGAATTAAAAAAAAAAAACTGGACTATACATGCTAGAACTTTACCACCTTCCTTTTTCTTTCCAGCCAAAGCCCCCGGGAACAGACGAGCACGCCCGTCACACTGCGACGGCAAAAAACTCTTCGCCACCGCCCAGTGTGAGCCAGAAAAGATACTGTAGTAACTAGAATAGATGTTGTTCGGTTTTCTGTGGCCGAGATACACGCAGCTCACAGATAATCCAAACACTAAAATGCCCAAGACTTTGTTGCTGTAGTTATGTAAAGTCTTTTTTTTTAATGTAACAAAGTCGTGTAAGATGTTACCGAGGGGAGGTTGGCCGTATGTGGCTGTCATGATCGTTGAGTAATAAGATTGAGTATCAGTATTCACGAAAGGAGTTGGCCCATCAGCTGTGAGAGAGGGTGAGGTTTGTAGAACGCGAGTGACATTTTACATAAAGCAAAGAGAGCATTTGGCTGCTAACTTGGCTTAATACTCTTTGGACAATGAAGAAAGGGAATGTAGTGTAAAAATCCTGCAATGTAGAGTTGCAATCATCCATGCAAGTCACGAGCATGGGATGAAACGAAATAAATGTGTTTGCATTCCTTCTTTTATATGTCATAACTTCACTCATTCTTGTCATTTTCCATGTTGCATTTCGAAAGCACGACTTGGTTTGATTAAAGTTCGGTTTTAGATCATGTGTTGGGAGATATGTGTGTATGATTCATAAAAATAGTGCAACTCACAATGAGACAGTGTTATGAAGAAAAAAATATGTATGACCCTGTGTGTGCATCCATTGCATGTGTACAAAACCTCTCAAACAAAACAAAACAAATAAAATAAACACTAAGTTTTGTATAATACATCCAGAGTCCCACAGTCTCAGGAAATATAAATGATAAAGTCAGCAAAACCGGAATTGTCTCATAATATCCTTTGTTACCGTTAGTTTTACATTCTTAATTTTAGTTTATGTTTTTGTCATTGATAGTGTTAATGATGGTGATAAGAACAATGTCATATTATCAACTTTTCATATGATTACCATTATTGCTATCATTAGCAACAGTATTGTCATTATATTATTATTATTATCATTATTGCCATTATTAGTAATAATATCATTATTATCATTATTATTACTATTATCAATATTACTACTATTTTCATCATCATCATCATCATTATTATTATTATCATTATTATTACTATTATTATTATTATTATTATTATTATTATTATTATTATTATCATTGTTATTGTTATTATTATTATCATTATTATTATTATCATTATTATTATTATTATTATTATTATTATTATTATTATTATTATTGTTATTATTATTATTATTATTATTATTATCATTATTATTATTATTGTTATCAATATTATTATTATTATTATTATTATTATTATTATTATTATTATTATCATCATCATCATCATTATTATTATTATCATCATCATCATTATTATTATTGTCATTATCATTATTATTGTTATTAACATAATTTTCCGTATTTATCATTATAATTTATTGATATTATTGTCATTTTCATCATTATTAATATTATTATTATCATCATTATTATTGTTACTATTATTATTATTATCATTATTATTATCATTACTATTGTTATTATTATTATCATTATTATCATCATTATTATTGTTACTATTATTATTATTATCATTATTATTATCATTACTATTGTTATTATTATTATTATTATTATTATTATTATTATTATTATTATTATTGTTATTATTATCATCATTATTATTATTATTATGATTATTTCTACTACAATCACTGTCACCACTGACATTATCAACATTACTAATGTTATAACAATTATAAAATCCATTACCACTTCGTGCATCTCTTATTAGTAAAATTGTTTTCCTAATGGTCAGTGCATAATTTCGCATATATTTGCATGTCTTTAATTTCCATTGTGTTTTTTTTTTCCTTAGGTATTTATATCATGTAACAGTAGTGTTTGTTTTGTGAATCACCAAATACTGTATTGTTACTTATGTACAACTGTTCGGATACTGATTCTGAGTTATGTTATTACTATAGCGAAATGAGCCCTAATGTTCCTTCTCTATGATAAAAGCAGCATTTTTTAACACTAATGAAAACTGAAAATGATGTAAGGTAAATCTTGTAAGAATTATGAGGATCATGCATCCAAGAGCTACTTACACAATAAATGAATAAAAAGAGAGAGATAATGTTAGAGATAGAAAATTGTCTAACATATTAGGTGTAAAAGAAAACCATTTGCTTTGTAATCTTTGTGGGTGTGTTTGTGGGCTACAGATTGGAAACTTTGCAGCATTTTGTGGTCCTCCAACTTGCTTAACATATTAAAACACTTTTTCCAGAAATATTAGCTACCTATGGAACTACAGCTGACGAACACTCATAGAATAAATGAGATCTCCACAACGTAGTGTGACGTTTCCAATCTAATTGAGGTGTTTCTCCCAATGATGAATTTAGTTAATGCCTGTCTGTTTCATTCTTTCAGAATGCTTGGCCAGCCCCTACTCATGTTCATGAGATAATATAGAGGCCCTTGACCCTCAGATCAGTCAACGCTTTTTAGGAAAAGAGAAAATGGGGGGACATTGATCTATTAAGATTATATCATTATATTTCCTTTCTTCTTCTTTGAGCTATAGACTGATTTATTCGTTTAAGGTTTGTGCATAATACGAAATGTTGACATCGCGAGTTAAAGCTTACGGTTTTTTATATATACATCGCGGTCATAAAAACTGCCATATCTTACTGATATATACACTCAGATAAAAGGAACTCTTGATAATGATATATCGTATATGTGACTAACATCAGTAATATCTTTTGCTTTTGATTTAAGCTGCATACTAAACTCACATTGGTTCTAATCTTGCGTTCACATAGATATGTTTTGAAATTTGGTTCATCTGAAATTCAAAGGGAATTTTTAACCTAATAATTTCCTGAATAATTTCTATGTGGTTTCGAAGGTTTTTTTTCTTCTTCTTCTTCTTCAAGAATTAAATACAATCAACGACGATTTGAACAAGATATATAGAGAGTATTAAGAGAAATACTCCTATGTTAATAAGATGTCTAGTGTAAATACATAAACTCCATTGAAACACCACACTCTACATATCTCCACATATTCTCAAACGGGATAGTGTTTGTACTACGATAATGTCCCCAATTGGACTGCATGCTTCGACTAAATCAGTGACCATTGCATTGTTTCACAGGGAGGATATCCCAGTGGGGTAAGTTAGGTAAAAAAAGAAATATACATAAAAAACTATCTAGGGTGTGCATGATTTAGAACCTCGACGTCATGCAGTGGTATTTGTGTTCTCTTTGTAAATACCCACGAGTCGTTTTCTGTTTTGTCAGTGGGGCGTCATGAGGGGTAGCTGTGTTGTTTTCTAGTCCTATGGGCAAATATCTTTTCTATTTGGTGTTCTATTTATGGATCTGTAAAAGCTGATCGATATCTTAAAATGATGATAATAATTAAAATCATAACTCGATGTGTAATCGGCGGCGGGAAATGCATTGGTAAAAAAAATGTATTCATATAAATGATAGGTAGAACAAAGAATCTACAGCATCATTCTAAAAATATATATATACCTTTTTTCGAATCGTACATTGATCTATTAGCTACAGTATTCTTTTTTTCTAGTACTACAAGATGAAACATGAGGCGTTTGCAATTGATCCATGTACACATTCTTGAATACAAGAGAAAACAACAACCAACATAAAATACAGAATGTTCATATATCTCCATCACTGTTTTAGTTGTAGGATTCTAGATCTACTGAATGTCATGTTTTTTGGAGAAAAAAAATTTTGCATGGATATATAGATCATTTTGAACATATGTATATTTATATGCTTCGTGGCAACAGCAGAATGATTTATAGATGTCTATAATTTGTTTGATACTTGTATATACATGGTATTTAGTTGTCTTGGAGATGCTGCCCGCTCCCTCTGGTGGCACCATGTAGCTCGATGCTCTGTTATGTGTAATGAATAAAATAAATGGTTTAAAGATTTATTCAACTTTTTCTTTGTCCATTTTGGTATTCTTTGATGGTATCGTCCTTGAAACGATTGAAGTGAAGTGAAATTATTTGCTGGGAAGTGAATGTGGCATGTCATATGGGGGAGGGGGAGGGGTTAAGAAAAGAGAAATGGAAAGAAGATGGAGGAAATAAGGAGGAAGAAGAGGAAATGAGAATAATGCAGGGGAAGAAATAATTCGAGAATAATGAGAACGATAGAGGGGAATGCTATGAAAATGAGAGGGAAAGCGAATGAATGTGAGAGAATGAGAAGGAATGGGATAAAATGGGAAAAGAGAATGAGGATGATGATAAGAAAATAAGGGAGAACAATAAGAGATAATACAATGGAAGAAAAGAGAATGGGAGAAAATAAAGAGAGTAGGAGGGACAGAGGGGAAAAAAGGGAGAGAGAAGGTGAAAAGATGAAAAGGAAGTTTAGTAAAGGACAATTATCACACTTTTAATCTTTATTTTAAAAATCCAAAAAGTCGAAAATAATATCACAGTGCCCGAAGAGCAAGGAACTGCTTAATCTCGCAGAATATATTAAAATACAAGTTTTTACGAACATACTGTAATCCAGAGGAAACAGGTTCTTTTAAGAACAAAGCCGATTAGTGTCTATTTAATTATTAAGATGATTATTATACTCCGTCCAGTCTCAGAAAAAAATATATATCAATGATTGATAAAATAAATATATCAATGTTTATGATCACAACAATAAAAACAACAATGAAAACAATGATAATGATAATTATAATAGTAAGCAAAGTGATGATAGTAATGATACTAACGGCAATGGTAATAGTAGTAAATTAGAAATACTAATAAAAATACTAATAATAATGATAATAACCATAGTAATAATAACAATAATAATATATCATAATTATGACACTGATGACAATTTTTTTTTTTTTTTTTTGGTTTAGCGTCACGAAACTCCCCTTTTTTTGGACAAGGGCTAGGACGGGCCTGCCCCGTGAAGGACAGGCAGGAATTGGCAGGTGGAGACCGTTACCCCGAGTGGATGCCCT